TTCACTGTAAATCATATTGTCAGCATAGACCATCTTGTATGACCCAAGCCTCCCAGGGAAGCAGAGCCACTCGTACCAGACAGCACATTCCAAGGGCTTAGAGATACCCTCCCAGAAACTGAGGGCAACGCCAAACCTCTCTTGGGCAAGGTCAATCCCTCAGTACACAAAGAGAAGGCAGTCTTAACTGTGTGCTTAATAGGATGGTCCTCAAACTGAGGGGTGTTTACCCATTGAAGTAGTACATGGGCAACATGCTTTTTAAAGACAGTGTCCAGATCCTTGGAACCTTCTGTATGTCCTCTTGACGGAGCTTGACCTGCCCAAGCATTCAGCAGCCTCCGAGGCGTGGTGCTCTGCTGCTGCTGCTTTCCCGCCCCCTTTTCCTCCCCCTGTAACGGAGGTACTGCGGACTGAACCCGGGACCTCGTGTGCTAAGCACACACTCTGCTACTGAGTTATACTCCTCCCCTTTCCTTCCTCCCTTTTAATAGTCATGCCACTTCCTCTTCACAAAAGAAGGCATACTTTTCACATGTTTAAAATCTTGTTTTTGGCAACTAAGTAAAACAAATAATTCTGGATCGTTGGGATGATAAAGGACATTATTTGCAAAGTGGGCAAAGCTGGAAAGAGGGCTGTGAATTATATGATAATATTGTGTCAGTGTTAGTTTCCTGTTTGATTATGTGGAATGCAGCTTTGTCTTAATAAAACCATTCTGAAGTAAATAAAAAAAATAAAATAAAATCTTGTTTTATTGCCCTAGAGTTAGGAAAGCCCATGGGGCACCAAATAAAGGAATGGTTGGAAATATTGAGTCTCTTAATTTTGGTAAGTGCCTATCAACAGTGACAATATCCAGGCCCTTAGGGGGTATACACTTAAAAGTCAGTCTGCTCTTTGGCCCACAGGTCCTGGTTCCCCTGGAGAAAGAGCAATCGAGTGAAGGGATTAAGGGAAGAAGGAGGAGGTTCTTGGAGTTGGATGTCATCATTTCTGGGGGCAGCTTTAACCGAGCATCAGTATTTCTGTCTCTAAGAACTACATGGCCCATGCAGAAGAGAAGAAAGACATAGACTCCATGTTACTCACTATTTCCTGAGCACAGAAGAAAATGATCAAGGCGCAGGTGATTTTTGGTTTGTTCTCTCTTTCCTTTGCCTTCTAATGGATTTGTGACAACCTGAGAAAAATCAGTTCGAGTCTTTATAAAAAGTGGAAATTTGGGATAATTGTGTTCTGGGGAGAAATCAACTTAGATTCTGAATTCAAAATCGGGACAAAGAGGGATCAGGAATATATTGTTCATGGGGGTGACACCAAATGACAAATACTGGAACATGATGTGTGACTGTGGTGGGTCCTGGGGGATACGTTAGTTTTCATGTTCCATTATCTCTGATGGACAACACAACCAGAGAAGCACAGAAAGCTGCATGATACGCACTGATTGTGAGGAGAAGGCAGACCAGTTCCTTAGGGGATTTACTAGTTTATGTCACTTAGGTGAATGGAAGGATACTCCTGACAACATCAGCAAGTCTGCGGGGCTCCCTGCTATCCAGAGTACCACTGGCCTGGTAGCAACTGAGCATCTAAAAGACAGATGAGTGCAGTTTCTTGAAGAACATTACCTATATAGCTATATACAATACCACGAGGTGGGGAAGGGTGTAGCCCAGTGGTAGAGCACATGCTTAGCACGCACAAGGTTCTGGGTTCAATCCCCAGGACTGCCATTAAAAAAAAAAGTTCATGAGTGCATAATCATACTCAAAAAGCTCATAAGATAAAGAAATACTAGGGACGTAATGTACAATACGATGACTATAGCTAACACTGCTGTCTGACACATAGGAAGGTTGTTAAGAGTAAATCCTTAGAGCTCTCATCACAGGGAGAAATTTTTTTCCCTCTTTTTCTTTTCTTTTTATTGTTTCTATGTGAGAGAAGATGGATGTTAGCTGTATCTGTTGTAATCATTTCACAATATACATAAATCATACCATCAGGCCATACATCTTAAACTACACCGTGGTATATGTCTATTTCTCAGTAAAACTAGGGGGAGAAAGAGCTATTGGCGGTTGATAGAAATCAGATATTTAATCCTTGAAATGATAAGATAACATAATCAAACCCATAAGTTTGGGGGAACTGGTGGAGATTTACTCTGAGTTCAAAAAATAGATTTGGCTGGGGGTAGGGGTATAGCTCAGTGGTAGAACACATGCCTGGTGTGCATGAAGTCCTGGGTTCAATCCCCAGTGCCTCCGTTAAAGGGGAAAAAATAAAAATTAGAAAGAAATTTTTAAAAGGTGCACAGAGTTTTAAAAAGTTAAAAAAAAAAACAGATTTGGTGTGAAATTCCAGCTTCGTCGATAACAGCTCAGTACTCCTGGACCATTAATTACACTCATATCTGAACTACCTCTGCAGAGTAAGCCACAGTGGTCATTTTCATGACATCCCCCAGACTGTTTTCACTGAATTGGCATTCTTTACACATTAGTCCCCACAGGCCAACTTTCTTCTTTTCCACCCGATGGCAGTGGACACCAAAGGATGTAAGATTCCATTTTTTCTGAATTCAGTTGTTTCCGTTGTAGGTAATCTATCTGCTGTCTCTGGATGCTTTTATACTTTCCCTTTGTGTTTGGCATATTATAGTTTTAATCTGATGTGTCTAGATATAGACCCCCTCCTTGGAATTTGTTGGGATTCCTGAATCTGAGGTTCGGAGCGTTTAATCAAGTCTTGACATTTCTCCCCTTTTAGGTCCTTGGATACTGCTTCTCCATTACTTTATTTTCTCCTTGTTTTTGTTCTCAAATCTTCCTAATCAACTTTAGTGGCCTTTTTTGCTATAGACATATCTTGTATAATTTCTTCTGTTTTTTTACATTTATTAAAAACACTATCTTGTAAATTCTGGTTGTGGGATCTGTTCATGGTTGATTCTCCTATTGAAATTGTGAAGTTTCATGGTAATGTAGAAATATTTTATTTGGCCTAATTTTTTTTGCATATTTTTGGAACGTAAATGGAAATAGATGCTAAAATATATCAGTAGAAAAATAGGGTTTTGCTTCTACTTAAAGCAAATACTAAATACTTTAGCAAATGCCAGAATGTGTTTGAGAGAAGTATATAGATGCAGGCCATGTGGTAAAAACTTGAACAACTTCCCTCATGCTGCTTCTATACTAATAAAAGGAATTCACATCATGTTAAGTGAGACTCTGTTATTACAGGAGTTACTGACATTGGAGGATGTGGCCGTGGACTTCACCTGGGACGAGTGGCAGCTCCTGGGCCCCACTCAGAGAGACCTGTACCGGGATGTGATGTTGGAGAACTATAACAACTTGGTGTCACTGGGTAAGGATGGCTTCCTGTGCCACTTGGAGGTGCCCAGTCACTGGCCTTTCCTCTACCACCTGATGAAAGCTTTGCGGTCACTGTGGTCTTCTGAAGAGTTAGATTTTCACTTTGCTGTGCCCCTGAAACTAGCATTGTACATCGACCACACTTCAATAAAAACAACAATTAAAAAAAAAGTTAGATTTTCAGTCCCGCATCTGGCCCCAAACAAAGGGGAATAATCTCCTGTACCCTGAAAAGAGAACTTTTACGTTGCATACAAGAAACTGTTTTGTCTCTAAAATGTAATATTTTCCCATCTTGACATCCTGTACCCCAGTCACTGTATCAGAGTCTATCATCTTTCACAAATAGGGTATCAAGCTCCCAATCCAGATACACTCTCCAAGCTGAAACGTGGAGAAGAACCATGGATAATAGAGAATGGAATTCACAATGGATGCTGTCCAGGTGAGTGAGTGAGAAACCAGCAAGGGGAGTGGCCAGGGAGGTCTAGGATCATTAAGGGAAGGAGGCACAGCTGTGAGGATGTCAGAGCCCCCTTCCCCCCCAACAGCTACTCCACATATTCATCTCACCAGATGAGAAGTCTTTTTTTCCTTTTAGAACTTTTTTT